ATATGACCGAGTTGCGAAAACAAGGTCAAACAACTTCTATATAACGAAAGGAGACTGCGACCACACAAAAAACCACACCATCTTGGTTTTCATACCTTCGATTAAAAAAAGTTAAGTGTTGCCTATCCGAAGTTTCCGTGAGCGAAGACGATACAGTGGAATTATGTACATTTTCAAGCAGATTTTAGCCGATAAAATCGGTTTCACTTGTCTCCTTGGCCGTGCACTCTTTGCCTCGATGAAAGGTCTGGGAGTCTATAAACTCTACTGTCCTGTTCTGATTGAACATGTAATGAAAACTAAAGAAGCCAGGAAAGGGGGCCATCAGAGATCCCACTTACTTCTTATACCTCACTTTACGATCTTAATGAGGCATTCCATGATTGGGTTGGCCACTGTATGCTTGTCCTACAAGCGGGTAAGAGAGAGAAGGTGATGCACAACTTGCGTATGATCCAGTCGTCCTGGGTATTGTGACAGCTTTGTGAATGCGGTTTTGTGTGTGTATACAAAAATCACGAGTTGGTTGACGATTTGACGTCCCCAAACAGACTCCAGCTTAGTCAAATCTTCTACTCTTACTCAACTGCCCTTCCTGTTCCTCTTCCTTCTCTTACACTCTCTCATTCTAGTTAACAACCAGAGATAGTTCTTTCTTAGCTTCAGCTGATATTGATACGTATAGAATTATAAATGAGGTTAATAGTGTTAATAGTGGAGAGTTGGAGAAGTAGAAATGCATATGGTCTGCCCAAAATCCACAATGGGGGGGTCCCACTCTTGATCATTGTGAATTATAAGGGTGGGTGTTGCATAAAACATCACAATTCCTTTGTGATCAATTAAAGTTGATCTTAGGTTTTTGGAAATTTTCAATAAAATGTTCATATGACTTTATACATTTAATAGATGAGCAAATAATTGAACAAGAAGATTTATTAGTAAGTTTTGATGTAGTATCGATGTACACGAATGTACCGATAATTGGTGCCATACGGACATTGGGATTAACCATAGATATATACCCAAAGATAATTTCAGGTAATTGGATGAGCAAGTAATCAATCATGCGATTGACAAACTTAATAATGAATAGAAGTGGGAAATAGCGCCTGGAGTTAAACGCACTCTGAGACTGAAACCAAGTAAAATCAGTCAACCAGAAAGATAAGGAACGGATCTACGAGACAATGAGGGGATCCGGATTAGAGGCCCGAGTCGGATTGGCCAATCGAAAGAGAAAGGGTCGGGGTGAATAGCTGGTGCAATGGTTCCCAAACTTTTCCTAGTCGCGGCGCCTTTTTCCAATTAAACTTTTTCCATGGCGCCATACTCTAAGTATGACTATTCGTAAGTAAGAGATAAAAAAATAAAACTCCTGTATCTTTATTTTTCTGCTTTATTAACATTAAATTGATAATTAATAATTTATGTGACTAATGAGCCTACAAATCAGTACACATTTTCTCAAATTGAAGCTTTTAAAATATTTCGCGGCTAACCGGGGCGCCGGGGCGCACAGTTTGGCAATCACTGAGCTGGTGTGATGAGGCCACACTAGATTTGCCACAAAAGGGCACATATTTTGACGAGTTGAATGCAAACAAGTGGGAATTTGTGATAGGGCGGCAGTGGGAAAAGAGGGTAAAGAGTAGATAGATAGGCAATGACAAAAAGAGGAGCGATGGTGTAACCATTTT